CAATGTATCAATCAACGTTTTCGCCGGCCCCGAAATCTGTCGATGTGATCGCAAGCAATGCACTTGATCAGGAGGAACAAGTTCATGATTATGCTCTTTACAAAACCCACTAACAACCCATTTTCCAGAATCCTGAATTTTTACAGACAACATTGCTTTACACCCAACTCTTGTAATCATCCTAGGACGCTTAATTTCTCTATCTTTCGTCCTTTTTTCATTCAAATTACGAAACCCCTCTTTCGCACAAACGAAGGAGCGCTGTATAATTGCGCCATCTTTACGCGAACGGCGCGACGAGCTGACCCGGGTGCTGAACCCGATTCGACGCGCGTACGAATTGTAGAAGGCTTTTGCAGCTTCTTCGGACTCGAACTCCATGCCATCGTAGGGTTCAAGGTCGAGCAATTCTCCTTCAATGGCGGATGAGAAATGTGTAGTTGGGTGTAAAAATGGAGTTTCCGGGATATCATTTTCGTCGATTTCAATGGCGTCGTCGGAAATTGTGGCCCCAGGTCCTAATTCTATGTCGAAATTTAAGACCTGGTTTTCCATTTCAAAAAATTGGGGGAAAAATTAGGGATTGAATTAAATATGGAAATGGGTTTTAGGGTTTCTGGGATTTCCTTTCATTGTAAAAAAAAAAATGATTGAAAAGGGGGGAAATTGTTTTTTCTTTTTTTTTTAAATTCAATTGAAATGAAGGGTTTAAAGAAGGGGATTAGAGGAAAAATTAGAAAAAAGATTGAAGGTTTGATAATGGAGGAGAGAGAAAGTTATGGTGGGTAGAGTTTATCAGTTCATGTGGTAGTCTTTATCTGATTGTGAACATAGAGTTGATCATGACCGTCAGATTCAATTTTGATGAAATTAATTGATTCTCAACCATTGATTGTTTTTAATTTTCTGGAAGGTTTTTTTATTTTAAGTGGAATATGCAAATATTTAGTGAACACAAAAAATGTGGTCTAATGTTTTGGATTGGGCTTTTTGTAGTGCAGGCTGATCCACTGATGAATTTAGAATTTTAGAGCTGTTGAAAATGACTTGCCACAAACTAAGTGATCCAAATTCCAAATTCAAGAATTATAGCATTATTTAGGGTCTGTTCTGATTGATTGAACTGAGCTGAATATTGTATGTGAGAAGAAAATTAAGAAATGAAGTGAACTGAAAATAATCTGAAGATAACAGGCCCTTTATATTTGAAAAGACCTTACTCTAAGATTAGAATTGACCATTTATGAAGTAAGTTAAAATAAATTAGGTCAGGCATTTTTTTTTACCGATATTCATTCTATTTTTGATTAATCACAACACTAGATTTGACACATAGTCTTGTGAAAGTTATAAGGTGAGATTGTGAGAAGTGGGAATCAAAATGAGCATTTTAAAATCTATATTATGCAGAGTAGTTGATGATGATAGAGACTTTAGAGAGAAAAAATTTGTATATATTTAAAATATTATAACCAAATGAAAATGAAAAAGAAAAAATATTACAATTAATCATAAACAAAGGATATTTCAAACCCCACCCTATAATATCAGTAGTTCTCTATAGTACTAGTAGTTGTGTGATATAGCATTACCCCCTTACAACATGAAGAATAAAAGCAAAGTCACACACAAGCTTTATTCTTGTGATCTAGTCTCTCTCTCTTTCTTTCTTTTTTTCTTTTTTTTTTTTTTTTTTTTTTTTTGACATAGGCTCAAAGAAGGTTATCCTTGTCAACATTATCATAGACGGAAAATTGGAGCATATCTTATCTACTTGCGCCTTACCACTCTCAAGAGTTACAACCAAGTAGTATGTGGTGTAGCGGTAAGAAATCTCACAATTGTTACCTCATGGCTATGAGGTTTTCAGTCCGTGCTAAACTTGGCACCTATTGAAAACACTATTATAAAAGCTTGCAATTACGACTGATGCGTGTATAACTTTGCTTTGGTATGACAAATTTGATTTTATGACGCCAAATTTTATAAATACATAATTACCTACAAATTATATTAATAATTAAATTAGTGCTATGTGTCATTCAAAATTCAAAAATTGCAATTTCCTTATAACGGATGAACTATACTTTAAATTACACTTTTGCTTGAGCTTGTACCAATAAAATCTGTAACTGCAACTCACATTTGATATTTCATGGTCATATCGTTATTATTCTGCTTTAAGTTGCAGTAAGATTTGAAAATGGATCAGAACAAGCATAGTTGTGGGCCTAAAACTGGAACAAAGAAAAGGTAGCAATTATGTAGGACCCAATCAAAGAATCTATTGGGCTAAGCCTGCACCCTATCCTCAAATTAGTTACTTTTTTTTTTTTGAAAGATCAAATTAAGTTACTTCTAAAGTCTCAAGCTTTTCTCTTTTTTAAATTTTTTTTTCTTTTCCGCTATTGTACTTCTTAAAATTACAACATATTCTCTCATTACAAACTTTTCTATCATGAGGGTTTCTACTTTGCTTTTTGCTTCTAATCCCCTCAAAAGAAAATAATAATAATAATAATAATAATAATAATAATAATAATAATAATAATTCCTCTTCATAAACAAAATATGCTTTTATGCTTTTATCAAGTGGTAAAATTGTAAATAGATCAACAATATTTTATTACAAATGGGCCTCATGTGTGTTGCTATAATTATTAAAATGTTGATTTATTTACAATTTTGTTATTAGATAATTTGGAACTTTTCAAAAAAAAAAAAGTTAGAGTCTGTTCACTTCAGCTTAATTTCAGTTCAGTTCAGCTCCTAATTTCCTTTTCTCATAAAATATTCATTTCAACACTATTCACTTCAACCCTAATCAGCTCAGCTCAATTCAACAAATGTTAACAGGCCCTAATGTAAGCAACTATAACTTGCATGTGTTACATCTCTCACTTGCTCTATTTGTATACTTGTATACAACATGGTTGTGCTTTGTTCTAAAGAGAGTCACGAAATACAATGTCGCAACTGAAATTTAATCTCACATCTCATGTAAAATAATAAATTGTTATTCATCTATGTTTGAAGTGTATCAGCAAAAATCTTTAGTTTACGTAGATTTTTGCTCTCTTTAGTCTTTAGTTCTTTACATTAGTACGCAGTAGTACACACATAACAATATAAGAGTGCATCATCTATGTTTGAAGCCAATAAGGTCATATCAAGTTCAATAATTCATTTTATAAACAAAGTTGAAATGAAATTTGAAATCTTATTTACTTAATGAGATCAATCATATTCATTTATATATACAAGTATGTACAGAGTATTCTGAACAATAGATTGTTGTCTATTAAAAGTTCAAAACTACACATAATATATAAGTTGCTAGATATATAATTAATTAACATATAATTAAAATGATCATTGAGAGTTTGCTTCTAGTAATCCAGCAATCATATAAAGTTATTAGGCCAATTAAAAATTCAAAAACTTCTACTGACCACTTTCAAGTTAGCTTAGCTTAGGTATGAATGTTATTAACCTTGCTGAATTTAAAGCATTGTTATGAACATTATAAACCTAAACAAATAGAGTTTGAAGTGGTTTCATCTTTCATGTACTCGACTTAAAGCACACAAATTCTACTAAAAATAGAGGAATTGAAATGAGTTTTAGTAAGTTTTGTCAAATTTTATATTAGATTCAATAATAATTGTCCAAGTTCAAACAAAAATTCGGATAAGTTTCAATAATAATAATAATAATTTTAAGTAGTACAATAAACAAATCAAAACAACTTCATACAAATTAAAGAATTAATTTTAACACTTCCATTGTTTCATACTTCGTACTACCTATAATCAACCTTATAGTGACAAGAACTCACCATCACATCACAATTCACTGTAATACCAACTTTGATTACTAATTATTTCCCCGAAAAAAGAGTATTAGTGAATTACTTTATATTGAATTTTAAATTATAACAATTTGTATATTTTAAGTATTGATCAATCTCCTTCATAGTGTGTTAATTAAATAAAAAAAAATGTATGTAAAGGGGACCTAAGCTACTGAACTAGCTATATGTATTACTCTATAAGTAAAGAAAGGCAAAGAAGAGGTAATTCATCATTAGATCATGGAAAATGAATTTTACTTCCCTTGACATGAAAGAAAAAGAAAAGAAATTGACTATGACAGGAATTGAAAATAATAGAACCTATCTCTTTCGGAATGTTTAGACAGGAAAATGAGAGTTTCTTTAGGTGGAGGAAATTCTGTCCAATTGATCTATGCATAAATTTGAGAGAGGCTGTTGTTTGAGTGATCTCGATGCTTTTCTTTTTTAGATTGTTGTCACATCATTGTAGAATGATGTATCGGTACTGTAAGGTGCTCGTATTTCTTTGTAAAGAGGAAATTCACAAAATTAAAGTTAAAAACAAGAAAAAACTTAAATTACTAGAGTGATGTAAAATTACAAAGCATCTAAATCCAAAACAAAATCTTACAGTAGATTTAAAGGAATTGATAAATCATGTTTTGATGAGGGTAGAAATGATTCATCCTTCATTCCTCTGAACAAAATAGGCAATTCAAAACGTCTACATAATAAGTAACATAGCCAACAACACAAGATGAGGAAACAAGAATTTGAGGTCGTCAAGGGTTTTATACTTTAAACTCCTTAATTAAACAAATTGTCATCTTTCAATCTAACCAAGAACTTGATTTAAAACAAATTGTCATCTATCAATCTAACCAAGAACTTGATTCGAGAAACCATGTTATATGAATCATATTATCACACACAATGACACAAGAATTAAAGATTAGTAACAAATAAAATAAATGCAGATAAAGCATGCAAAATGCAAGCAAAAACAACCATTTTTTTTAACAATAAGTTCATAACTTCATATGTATAATGAAAACAGCAACACAACAAAACACACAAGACAAAACCTTCAATTTAGCTAAAAAAAACTATACTACAAAACTCGAACACTAATAATGTCTAGGAGACATCTATTTATACAAGTGTATTCAATATTATTATAGGGCAAGTAAATCAATAAATTAACTCAAATTGACATAAAATGTCTACATAGAGGAAACATCTTAAATTACTAGTTAATGAATTAATGACAAAAACATCTTTTGTTTGATTCTGAGTTCTATAATATATATTGGCCCAACCGTTGGAATTAATGTCACCTATTCATTGATCCATTAACACAACTACAGTAGAACCTAGAAAGTATTTATATATAGTTAGAATTTAAGGAGATTGTATTATATTTAAGGAGAATTTAAGGAATACATAAAAATATACGTAGTGGCCAAACCTTTGCATGATCAACAAATTTCCATAATTCATTTTTAAAAAAAATCTACGAATTAGTCGAAAATAAATAATAATTATAAAAATAACACCCCAAATTAAAGTCACTCCTCACTACATGCAATTGTGCACAATACAATTCCATGAAAATTAAAAGGTTTTGAAAGAAAAAAATAAAAAATGGAGTGACTATTTCTTAGTTCTACAAATTGCACAAGTTTTTGGTCATTCATTTTTGTACACAAAATTTGTACCTCAGCTTGGGAGTTCACCATCACTTCCACCATCCGCCAGGCCACCTTCGAGACACACCTTTGACCATCAATAATCCGACGAAATGCCTTAGAAACTTACGGTTAACCATTAACTTAAAAACCTAATATTGTGACCTCCATCCAAATACATCATTCCCACCTTGTCCATCTCCACCACCACCACCACCCCCGCCACCGAAACTCGAGAAGTTCCCTCCTCCTTCTAGGGGTCCCACACTCCCCGTAACACCCGACAACTGCGAAGCCGTCGGCTGCTGCTGATTGTGCACTTGTTTGAACGGTGGCTGCAATTGCGCCACCGGATTACTATTACTATTATTAGTAGTAGTATTAGTATTAGTATTATTTCCGATTTCTCTTTCCTCGCCTTCTTCCAATGGTAACCTATCAAAAACAGCATTAGCAAAAGAAGCCGCCATTAAAACCACCGGCCCGGAAGCCATTAACGGGCCCACCACACTTCCGCCGACCACCTGCCCCTGCCCGCCTGCCAGGAATATGGTCAGCCCACCTGCCCCGGGTGGGGCAGGCGGTGGTAAAGCGGTCCCGGTAATCGAAAGAATCTCGAACCTTCCATGTAACGTCATCACACTTCCCGCCGGCGCCGCTGGTTGCCGGAGATTGACATTGGTGACAGCTCCGGTGCCGGAAAACACGCAAACTCCTCTTCCTCTTCGGGTTGCGAAATGGGTCACGGATTCTACCACATCTGAACCCGGAGAAACTTCTAGAACGTGGGATCTCAGAGCATTTGGGCTATCTCGGGTTATGATAATGGGTGGTTTGGGCTTGTTTTTTGAGCCCGCAGGCCGGCCTCTGGGCCTCCGTCCGCCGCCACTGTTACTGTTTCCTCCGCCGGAGCTGGTGGATGCGGGTTCGGGTTCAGATTTTGTGGTGTCTACTTGGAGCTCCAGCATTTTTAAGCCCAGATTTGAGAAAAGTGTGTTGTCTACCAAGTGTTTGATGAAATGTCTGAATGAGAAAAGTTGGTGTAAGAAACAGGAAATTATGGGGGCTTATGAATTGAGGAAAAGGGTGTTTGAATTGAAAAAAATTGGGAATTCAAAGATAATGAATTTCAAGAAAGAGGAGAGAGAGTTGAAGGAGGTTGAATGGGGCGTTAAATACTACTATACAGAAAAGAAAAATGCTTTCTTGACTGAGAAGGTTATGGCGGTATGAAACTTTTTGAGCTTTTTGACGAGGTGAAAATAGAGATATAATATTTTATTACTAAAGGAGTTTAATTGGTTTGCTTCAAGTTTTCATAATGGAACCTCACTTTAATATATTATTATAATATTATTATTAAGGAGTATTATATTATGTGACACTATAATTAGTACTTTTGTTAAACTAGAATATAGGCATAAACAAATGTTACACTTGTTAGTGTTGTTTCTAATTTGCTACTCGTGTTGGTGACTTTGTATTAGTAAATTAAATGTTTTTTTTTATATATATATAATTTTAATTTTTTGACAAGTGGTTCTTAGTAAATGTTTTATTATTTGTTTTAATAAGTTGTGTACTTGAGTGATGGAGACTATGTACTCGGTATAAGCTATTATTTAGGCTATTATTTAGGGTTTGTTCACTTCAAATTAATTTCACTTTAACTTAATTCAGTTGAGTTCAGTTCAGCTTTCAATAAGTTCAGTTCAGTTCAATTCAATTCAGTCCTTAAGGCCTGTTCTCTTCAACTTTCAGCTCCAATAAGTTCAGTTCATTTATTAATTATCTTAATTTCCTTCTCTTATAAAATATTCAGTTCAGTTCAATTCAACTCAGTTCAGTTCTAACAGATTCAGTTTAATTCAGTTCAGTTCAGCTCAACTCAGAACATGCCCTAATTTTCTTTTTTCATAAAATATTCATTTCAGCTCAGTTCAGTAAATGTAATCCTTATTTGTATTGTAAGAATTAATAATTCACTTATTATAAATAATTGTTGGCCCTATTAAATTATTTTACAAAACTAAAAAAAAATAAAATAAAAATAAAGATCACTACTTCCACATACAGTTCCATTTCCTCAATTGTATTTCTTTTTTTTAAATTGGTACTAGGTAAATAAACTAGGCTAGCATACCCCCTTAGGTTAGTATATGAGTAACCTAGAGTATCCTAATAGATGATAAGGAAGAGGAAAACAAATTCACCGGAAAGAAAAAGTAAGATAAGATCAAAGCTTGAAATTCTTTAGTGACTCTGAAATTCTTTGCTTTGATTTGACTCTCTAAATCTGATTGCATGAATAAATCTGCATATGACATAAATTTAAAGAATGGTAACAAAACAGAGAAAATAATGGATAAAAAAATAATTAGAATTTAACATTAATATTATATTACTACCAAGAACCTTGATGGAGTTTTTTTCAAACACACTTTGTAGTGTTTTTTTATTTTATTTTATTTTTTTCCACTCTTAATTAAACTAAGCAATGTTATTACTTAACGATGATCATATTGTATATTCCGTATTAAATTAAGAGTCTAAATAAAATAGTTTTACTTATCATAACGGCCTAGCTAGGGTAACTTAATGGGAGATTAGTAGGGAATCGTCAGGTGGCTTCCAAATTGGGATATATAATACATTACACATTGCATGTAAGAAAAATGAATGTTCGTTGATATATAGTCAACAATAACAACTTGATTGGACTGCTTTCAAACTACAAATAAAAATAGCTGCTCGAACACCCTTTGTGTAGTCAGATCTCATAAGTCATAAAACAATATGAACAATAATGTTATGGAGTACGTATTCATCTAATCAACTTATTGGTTGAACGCTATTCAAAAATAAAAAATAATAATAATAATTATTGATTGAACATTTAAGAAATCTTATGAAATATAAAAATTTGCTGAATTCTTTCACATATACTACATTAATTATTAATCTATCTACCTGCGCAACAAAACAAGCGAAATTCACAAGAGACAAAATAAAGGTTGGCGTTCAAAACTTGATGATTGTTTCTTTGCATTTTGATATTTATCCATAATTTTTTGTTTTTCCTGCAACCAGATTTTATCCATCAAAAAATGGTCAACTTTTTTTTTTTTCTTTTTTTGACAAGCAAAAAGGTCAACTTGATATGCATGTAATTTTATTGCAAGAAAATTTAGGCACCTCTTGCTAAATACAAGTATACAACAACAATATAAGTTATCAATCCATTTATAAATAGTATTTAAAAATTAATATTTTAAATTTAATAAATTAGGGTGTGGTTTTAAGAGAAGAGTATCCTAATTTCTTGTAATTGAGACAAAATCTTCTTACATAATTTGGAGTACGAAAATTACGACATATTAATTATCTGATTTATATGAGCTTTATTTTCATGAACTTATCATACGAATTTTTATACGAAGTATATAAATATAATAAGTCAAAATAAAGCCAGGTAAATTATAAATAAATTAAGGCCTTGAATTCAATATTTGTTAGTGGCCTGGCGAGTGGCTACATATATAATTGATCATGCATGCATGGCTTTGTAGCCAAATTAAACTAGCTACAAACCTCTAATAATAATAATAGTCCAAGGAATAAAAATTATCTAATACTTATAAGCTTTTCTTAAATTAAAAATAAAATAAAATAAAATAAACCTTATTAGCATTAATTATTTAGATGATGAATTCTATATTAATCTTTTTGTTCCTTAATGATATTGTACATGAACAAAATTCTCATCTTTCACTTTCGTTTAAAATTCACTTACACTTTAATATTTTGTTAACCTTATATTAGGAGTATAATTTTTCTATTCTCTTTAATCGACTTTATTTATCTGTCTTTATTAATTAATCAATCAAACCTCACTATTGATAACAACTCTTAGCAAAGACAATAGTTGTGGTTTAATTTGTGTCATAAGGTCCACCATTGGGGGTGCAACTAGGGTTTTGTTAAATTAAAAGGAAAAAAAAAATTAGCTTTGTCTATATAGGGAACAAGATGTCTAATCAAATCCAAAAAAGTTGAAGTATCCTAGGAAAACGAAGAAATCGATAGTTAATCAAAATAGTTTGATATATACGAATTTAATAGTATAATATTTATTGTAAACAATACTCCTTAGAATATTAAGAAGTAGAAATTAAAGTTTAAAAAGGTATGTAATTACTTAAATTATATACTTTCGCCGTTTCTTTTACTATAATATCAAGCATTTTGCAATTTACATGTGATTTTATAATCGTATATAAATTATAAGAGATAGTCAAATTAAAAGAAATGTGTATAAACAGTAAAATTAGGATTTATTCTCTTCAGCTTAATTTCAATTCAGTTCATTTCAACTTCTAATTTCCTCCTCTCATAAACAATTCATTTTAGCTCTTCAGTTCAGTTCAGCTCTATTCAGTTCAGTTTAGCTCTAATCAGTTCAATTCAGTTCTGCTTTAATCAGTTTAATTCTGCTCAATTTAGTAAATCACAATAAATTCTTAATCTAATATGAAGTATAATATTACTCCATACTATAGAATACACATATATACGCTCCAGTATAAGAGAGAAGGAAAGAAATATGAAATTAAATATGAATAAATAATGAAGCAATTTGATGGTATAGATTGTAGTACAAAGATTACACGTGAAGCTTGGGGATGATAAGAAACATTGGAACTTGGCCAACTACCATTATTCTTCTTCCTTATTATTACTGCTTCCACAACCATTTATGTCTAGCTATGCTTCTCACTGTTACTGTTGCAGACTTAATTAGTTTATTGCAGGTTTTCTGCTATTGGGGTTATACCGTTATAATTTTCTTATTACAGTTAAAAAAAATGTAAATCATTCCACAGTAGTACTTTGCTTAAAAAGAATAATGTCTTGTCTATATATATATACCTTTTTAATTTACCAGATTTCTTTTTTTGCTAGTTTTACAAGTTTGGAATGGTTTTTTGTTTTTTAAAAAGAAAAAGGAAAGAAAAGTGGTCAAGTGGACATTACTGTTATTTAAGAAACATCAACCTAAAACATTCTTATAGATGAATAGATCAATTTATACTTGACAATTTTTTATTTTCTTTTAATTGTAAGTGTTAGAGGATCAATTCAACCAAAAGTTTAAGCACACAATTGAGGAACAAGAATATGTTTCCCCTCACATGAAAGACTCTTTGGTTTGAAATGTGGATGCAACATAGAATATTAACCTTCAATTTTGGAATTTTATGACTTTTTTTCGCACATAAATGAAAATTGGCGAAATGTATATCATGGTCCCTAATACCCCTGAGAGTCCAATTGGGTGAGTGGAACCATCCAATTTTTCTTTAAAGATCAATTTACCAGTTTACAACTTGTACCGATTCCATCAACTCAAGCCTACCACGAACATTTATGACAACAAATAATGATCATATATGGGTATGAATGACGTTATATGCCCACGAGATGTATTCCCTAAAATTTCAAGACTTTTAGACACCGGGCCCTGAAAACTCCAAAAATTTTCAAAAAGTGTGGATATTAGCCTTCAATTTTTTTTTACTCTTTTTTCCCGGAAATAAAAATTGCTGAAAATTGTTTACCATGGTCCCTAATTCCCTCCGGCAGTCCAATTGGTAGGTGGAACCAACCAATTTGCCTTTAAACGGCCAATTTACGATTTACAACTTACACCGATTTCATTAATTCAAGCCTTCCACGAACATTTATGACAGCAAATAATGATTATATATGGTTCCATACGGCATTATATGACCCCGAGATGTATCCCCTAAAATCTCGAGTCTTTTCGTCAACGGGCCTCGAAACCTCCAAAATTTCTCAAAAACGGTGGATATTAGACTTCAATTTGGGAATTTTTTGACTTTTTTTCGCCTGGAAATAAAAATTGACGAAATCTTTACCATGGTCCCTGATACCCTCCGAAAGTCCAATTGGGTGGGTGGAACCATCCAATTTGCCTTTAAACGACCAATTCACCGGTTAACAACTTGCACCGATTTCATTAACTCAAGCCTACCACGAACATTTATGACACCAAATAATGATCATATATGATTCCAAACGGCATTATATGACCCTTAGATATCCCCTAGAGTTTCAAGACTTTTCAACATCGGGCCCCGAAACCTCCAAAATTTCTCAAAAAATGTGGACATTAGCCTTCAATTTTGGAATTTTTTTACTTTTTTTTAGCCAGGAAATAAAAATTGCCAAATTGTTTAACATGGTACCTAATACCCTCCGGGAGTCCAATTGGGTGGATGG